TTGAATAAGTTGAGCAGACTCGAGTTAAAACTTGAATTTTCAAGTTCGAGCTGAATTCAAGAAAACAGGCTCTTAAAGGTTAAAGTATTAGGATTAATGATTCGCTACTTAAAAAAATTTTTATGTAACGTCAAACTCGAGCTCGGCTCGAGCTCAACTCGAAAATCTCAGGCCTATTATTTCTTAGCTCGAGCTCGGCTCAAACTCGAAATTTTGAGCTTCAGCTCGAGCCGGCTCGGCTCGTTCAGAGCTTTATGTACACATCGATCAAATAACAAACTTCTTTTTTAAAAATATTTTTTTATAATGTCAAAATCCACAACAAGAAAAAGAAGATGAGAAACTGACACCAAAGACACATATGAGTAAGTGTTTTAAGGATGGTGGTGGTTATCGCCTGCCACTTGTCATTACTCTAGTTTCATAAAAAAAAAAACATGTCAAAATCTGTAACAAAAAGAAGAAAATTACAAAATGAAAAATCAGATATTGCTGGTAAGTATTGTTTATCATAAGAATGGTGGTGGTGGTTATCACCACCACTCGGCACCACTCTAATTATTATGTTAAATATATGTAGAATATTTAGAACTTGTTTTCCTGATGTACTAAAATTACTTTTTTCTCTCATCTTTAAGCTCTACCACTACCTGCAATAATAACATCAATAATAAAGAAAATAAAGTTAAAATTTAAAATTCTTTTCATAACATCACAATGTGTTTTTTCTTTTCTTCTCTTTATTATTATTGCTAAGTAAAGTCTTTCTCGGTGTACAGATTTTAAACTATAAGAATATTATTTCTGCTGTAGATAGAATCCAAAGGAACAACAAAGCCGCATATGAAGAGTAGGGGTTTTTGCATCATCAATTCATAAGAATGTCTTTATTGACTAATTTTTTCCCCTTAATATGAAAATAAGCACCAATTTCATATAATATGTATCACGCTCTTTTGAATTTTTGTGTGATACACAAAATCATATTATTGAATAAACATTTTCTTTATGTTAATATAGTATGTTGTGGTGGGGCATAATCGATCTAAGAATAAATAGTGCTTCTCCAAATCCCAATATTCACCACAAATTGCTTTTAGATGAAGAATTCCAAAACCTCAGAAATCGAGCAACAATGGAAATTCTTCAACAAAAACTAAAAATAACTGAATCTTCAAAAACCCTGTTAGAAATGATGATGTTTTCTAAAGACTAGTGCCGTAATCCAAAAAAGGAAAAATTATGGTTGCAAAAGTGGTTGCAAAGGTAATTGCAACCACTTTTTATATGCTGTAAATACAATTACTATCATCATCATAATTTACAGCACTAGTCTTTAATGTTTTCAGATAACATCTGTGTACAAATCCTTGCAAATGAGTTTGGAGCAAATGGAATCAGTGGTATTAAATCTTATTTCAGTAAAAATGGTAATGGCATTGATGGAAATCCTGAAGAAAAAATTGATGGATATGATAAAAATACAGCATATATTGGGAAATGTATTTTAGACATGTAAGTCATTACATATGTACATATATTTAACTTATTCATGCATGTGAGATACAGTCTAAATGTGTTATAAATTAGCCACTATTGGATTAATACTTATAATGTGGTACAGTCTTTGGAAAGAACAGTTGATATTCAGTTAATTGGACCTTTTGTCAAAGTCCCTGGAATGGCATTTTCTTAGTAAGAAGCTTTCATTAATTGTCAAAAGTTTATTTATGTTTAATTATGTTTAAAATTGACAAACATATTCATTCAGTGGTGAAAAGCATTCAGATGCTGATTGTGATGAGAAAACAACAAGATCTGGAACTTCCCATTCTGGAAAACCTTGTGACTATATATTTTGGGTATAGATTACTTAATTTATTCCATTTTACTTTTAGTTATTTATGAATATTAATATTATTATTAGTATGATAAATTTGAGATAGGAGTTGGGGAGAACTCAGGACCCAATAATAAAGGTTATTATGATAAATCTTGTGAAAATTTTATGGACATGATAAAGGTCACAAGAGCTCAGCACAAAAGTCTTGAAAAATAATCATTGAAATCATCAATTCCTTCTTTGCTTCAAGAAGGCCTTCAAACAATCATTATACCTTTCTTTCAAATAATCAGATTTAAGATCAGATTTTATATGCTATTCCAAGTGATCACTGTGTTTGAGTGGGCATTTTATTCTAATAGTTAGTGTTCCTAACCAAAAATCAATTTATTCAAGGATATTTTGAATACATATAATTTATTTTGTAATTATTTTGGATACTTCAGATACTTG